TAGGATCCTCCAAGATCCTCAAGAACAGAAAAAGATCTTTGCTAAGATCCTCAAGATTAAATTTTAGATTGGGATCCAGCAAAGATCTTTGTCCAGGTCATGCAACTCTTCACATGGCTTTCCACCTACATGTTTGAAGACCTTGTTTGAAAAGCTGGTCATCAATGTCTCCTGTCCTTGGGAGGGGGCACATTTCAAATCATCCACTAACATGAGAATATGAATGGCATCAATTCACGAGGAAAAAATTGAGACAGTAACACAAGCTAACATTTGCCCCTAATCTCTTGGATTTAAAAAGAATAATTTTCAATTACAAGAAAAGCTGAAAACTACTAAAAAAATGACAACTCTCTCATTTTTTTAACTATAACAAGGGACAAGGACTGTTACTAATCTTTCAAATATATTTAAGATTGGGAAACAAAAAAAAGGGAGGTAGTGGAGCACAATTCTCCTTGTTTAAAACTGCTTGAGGCAGAAGATAAGAGGAACAGGTAAAAAGAGAGGCTAGAGAAAAAATAAAATTTAAGGGGAGGGGACCGGAGGTGCAAAGGAATCCAGGTTTAAGGAACAGAAAGCACTGTGCTAAATAGGCTTTTGAAAAGTTTGGGACAACAACAATATCACTATCACCAGGGGCATTAAGGAGATTATAAGCTTATTAGAAGACCACCACTTCTCCTCTTATCTTGGCAGCAACCTCAAGGGTTTTATTGTGGGATTCAGAGTGAGAATTACACCCATTCACACAAAAACAGCTTGAATGACTTGTGACTGACTGGTAACAGTGTGATTAAAAAGAGACTTCTACAAAGATTGCAAATGAGTCAAACCAGCAAAGCACATGGCATTTTTGGAATGCTAAAAGTAGGCTGAATAAGTGACGGGGTAAGTACTGCATAACATTCAATGTTGACTTGTTGTGGACCCATAAAATTGCTTTCTGAAGTACATATGAGAGAAATTGATGTTCTACTGTAAGTTAAATGTCCCTCAGGATTGAGTTTGAGGAAAAGAACAATCACGCAATCAGAAGAATTGGGTCATTTACTTCCCTTGTTAACAGTTATAAGGTACTTTAATGATTTGAAGTCTTAGCCAATACCTACAGCTGTACAAGAACGACAAATTTTTTTGTGTCCAATTTGTGGGGACTTCATTCACTGAGGATCTGAAGCAAGTGGGATGGAACACTATTAATATCGATAAGGATTTTGGTAACCAGGCCACTATAAGGTGCACATACATGAATTCAGTGTAGCCACACAAAAGAATAAAAGTGTCAATAACAAAGAATAAGAGTGTCAATAAAAACAAGTATCAATAAAAACAAGTAAGAGAGTCACTTAAACATTCACTTGTGAAATTCCAATAACAGTGTAGCCGCACAGGAAGAGTTTCTAAATTCTCAACAGGGAATTTGGGTATCCCTTTTTCTTTTAGACTCAGGTTCTACAAGCACATGTTCCATTTCAATCTGCAACTTTTATCTGCACACCATGATTGCTTGGGTATGATAAGAAAATTATGAGAAAAAATCCAAAGATAAGCCTGAGGGGTTAACAAAAATAAGGAGCAGTCTAAATAATTATCCCTTCTGTTTGCTTAAGGAAGAAAAGCAATATTGTTTCTACTTCTAGGATTCAGGTTGTGATTATTACTACCTTCTATTTGATTGTGTGTAAATGACTAAGATAAGACAAGTTTCTCAACTACTGTACATGTAAAGTACATGAAAAAAAAATCTATAATAATTGTAAAATATCACGAAGCATATCCCACAAGAACGAGTTCCCCAGTTATGTGATTAAAAAAGGTATGATAACATTTAATGTTGGAGGGTCAGTTTTCTGTTATAAAATATTTGCTATGTCTAAAAGTTGTGTAATCCTCCACAATTACCCAAACAATCACAAAATTTTATTATCTTCCTCACACCCTGAGAGATGCACTTATTGTGCATATACAGTCAACATGAACCATGATGCACATTCGCTTGTGGAATGAGCAAAATGTTTCAAGAGATTGTTGAGTTAGGCATACACATACCTGTGCATATACAGCGTAAACCAACAAAATGAACACTCACCTTTTATGACTACAAGAATTACATCCTCCCAAATATTCATACCAGCGACCACCCTGCATGTGAATTTCTCTCCATCAGCAGCTGTTGTATTGTAGATTATCAATGTGGCACGATCATTAGGACTGATGTTAAATTGTCCTTGAAAGGCCGGAAGTAATGTAACAGCTCCAGATGGAGCTTTACTCCCAATATTGACAGTGGTACCTATATTCCATGCAACAAAAGAAAGTACCACACCATCTAAGGTAAAGTCCCATTCCAAACGCAACTCAGGAGATCTACCATCAAAAACTTTGAGTGTTGTTCGAACTGAGGCGTCTGAACCACTGAGTGGACCACGTTGTGGAGAGGGAAGAGTCCATGTGATGGTTGCATCTACAGCACAAAGAAAGTGACCAATTAATACAACATGCAATGGGGCCAGGTTATCTGTTTGAACATTACAGTATCTTTATGTTACAATCAAACACAAACAACCATTTGCCAAGAGGGATGAGTTCAAAATAGACATTAACAATGTACTCATACTCATGCAATTGTACATACATAATATGTAAAAAAATTGTCAATAATAAAATCATTCTCATGAAGTTCACCTTAACACAATCTATTTGTTCTCTACTGAACAGATAAAACCAATCTACAGTATGTGAAATTATGAAGATAATTGCTACTCATAAAGCAAAACACTGAGGTACATGTAGCTATCTGTTAGAATACTCTTTGTTCATTTTTAACTTGTGGTACCCGAAGCTTGTAAGAACATTTTTATGAGGACTCTGATATGCAAATGATCACTCACTCGCTCACTCAAGAGTAGACACTGTGATAATTAGTTGTTCTAAACTTGCCCAAGGGTAATACCATCATCTTGGAAAAATAACCATGCAAAAATGACAACCAGGCTCATTACAGTTTAAACTGAGCATTGTTGCTTTAAATGCCACCTTTTGAGTCAAGAAAACAATATTTAGATAACACTTTAATAGACAAAAAACATCCTGTGCTAACCTGACTAAAGCAAACTAGGGCTATTCATTGTCCCATATCTCTATTCTCAATCAATTAGAAAAACTTGTGTTCACATAAAAATTAATGCATTCTCGAAGCAAGAGAAACCTTGTAAACAAAGATCATTGTGTTACAATGCAAATATTCATTAAGTGACTGTGACGTGAAACCTGACATATATGCAGAAATGGAAAATAGTGGAATTTGGCTTGTGCAGGCAGGGAAAGATTTGGATCACAGTGTTTACATTTGATGAATTTTGCTAACAGAAATTTGATAAACTTAAGATATTGTTTGTACTGTTTATGTAGACTGCTGCAGGTACACAATTTATTATTCTCTGCAATTGGATGGTTACTATCATTCTGGATTTTTTGAGGGTTGTCCAATACACCTAGATTGAGTCGATTTGTCAAAGGTAGCCTTTGAATCCACCTACTAGAAGTAGATTTGCAGTTAAGGTGTCTCATATCAAGGTAATCTGAATAAACTGTTCTTCTTGAGGTAAAAATGTCATACTCATAAGTTAGAAGTCGCTTTGCAAGACACTTGATATATATTCTGAGAGTGGCTAAGAGGGAGGGTTAGAAATGTTGTTGTTGGTGACTCGTCCTAGTTAAAGTCTACGGAAGTCCATTTGCAATATATTCCGCTAGCTTCTGCAAAGAAGGTTTCAAGATGTTGGCTACTCAACTTGATTCTGCTCGATTCAGACCATTCATCACAGCTGAAATCAAGTCATCACATTGCAAGTTGATTTTCTAGACACTCACTAAATATTCTGCAAGTGGCTAAAAATTTATTTGATTTTAAAAATTTATTTGATTTAACTTGAATAAGACCACTGGTCTTACTTGAAGTTGACCTGTCACACTGGAAGTTGATTTACAAAACACTAATAAATAGTAATATGTTCCACAAGTTGCTGCAAGAGTTAGGAAGATGTATAAATGATGACTGCATTGAACACTCTAAGCAAAAGGAGACGAGAAAATTTGTCAGCTTCTCAAATGTGTGATAAATTTCATATCAAATGGGGTCTGCAGTGATATCTGCACCAAACAATCAGAAACCACCTAGCACAGCATGGTAATTCTTCACCTGTCATGGAATTAAGTATCTACAGGCAACTATAAAATTCTGGCATAACAAAAAAGTGATTATTGCTTTCCATAAATTATGGCAGCATTGAGATTGTATCAAGAAATATTCATTACCTTTCTACAAGTAAAATAATTGAGCAGAGGAAGGAGATTTTCAGAAACATTAATCAAGATGCCTTCATTCCTTTGAAGATGTGACTTTCAGAAATGAGACAGCTTCCTTGGTAATAAAACCAATAAAATTGACAAAATTCCTTCAAAACCTCCAAATGCTACAAAAATTACAATATATTAAATGCAGGCACAAAAGAACCAAAACATCCATAGAAGAAAACATTTATTGTGTCAAATAAAAAAAGAGATGAAAATAAGAAATCTCAGGCACTATAGAAACACTCAAATTCTTTGAAAGGAAGAAGTGGTATATATTACATAACCATCTATTATTCTGAGCACCTTCAACGTTTTGGCTAGCTTTTTTCCAATCATGGCACTAGCATGTTCCAACATTAGTATTAAACATTTTATCAAAATTTCAATTTTTGACAGTCACAATAAAGTCATCTTGTCAAATCTTTATTTTTTTCTCTTCTTTTATTTTGTTTCTTGAGTTTTTGTCCTTTTATAAACCCCAATTAACCAGTAAGGTAACTGCTTCTATTCCGTATATGTTTATAATCCATCAAATATTTTTGCTTGTCAGAAATTGTTCTAGACACATCATTTGACTGAAAAATCCCCAGCTATAACAGAGGAATATCCATGGATATTTTGCAATTTTCAAACCCTGGTGCACTATGATAAGTTTTTGTTAAACATTTAATTCAAGATGAGGGAGCAAAAGTGATTTTAAAGAGAAGGGACATGTCTGTTCAGAAAGTCATACCACAGAACAAGGAAGAGTAAACATTCCACATCAACTGGTTATAGTTGGTGTAGCTGTTTGTTTTTGTTTATCTTAAAACAGATAATGTCCATGAACAAATATCTGTGCATATTTTCACAATAAATTGAGATTATTGGTTATAAAACAGTTATAAAGTAATGTGATTTAAATTTTAAGTGTAGTAATATAAGTTATGTTTAACTTAGTGCATGTTAATTTTGGTAATAGCTATAGACATTCTAAAGTAGTGGCTGCTTGTGTAGTGTAAGTTGTGCTTCGTGGACTGAATAAATTTTAAAAAATTAAATAACAAAAACCAAAAAAGGGTTTGACTTTAGTGAGTTAGAAATCTCTTCTGAAGTCAAGCAATTAAGTTTGCAATCTGTGATCACACGCAAAACTACTCTCTCAACCTCAAACACTAACATATTTATCACCAAACTATGTATAAGTCTAAAATGTCTGGTACATTTTTAAGTACTATAGAAGAAAAGAAAAAATGTAAGTGCACACAGATACGCTGCATATTTACGCAAACGAAGGCTTTCAAGTGTCTTGTGTTAATATCTAAAAGAAAATATCATGGGCCTTAGAAGATAAAGCTGAAAAACAGCACAGACCAACAGATATCCATTTCCCTATTCATCCAGCTCCTAATTCTTCCACCTCCTGATTCTTCTCAATAATTCACTGTTATTTTACTCCTCGATTATGAAATAGAAGAAAAAGTTTCTTAGCTCAGAGTTCAATTCTCCTCTTGATAGAAATTTATGAGAAAATTTGAGAAAGCTTACAGTTCACTAGAATATAAAAAATATCAAACGTGATATTTGTAGAGATCTGCCAACTAGAGGCGTTCTAAACTTCGTTTTACTTAACACGGACTTTATCAGTAGCAGTAACAATCAAATGTGCAGAAAAATCTCTTTTTCTTTTTGAGTTTGGTGAACATATGTATTTACACGAACTGTAAGGCAGTTTACAAAGAGTAGCTTGAGCTGTGAACTGAAACTGTTGAAACAGGAAGACGTTCCCTCCTCAAATAGTGCAAATATTGTTATGATTAAGAGAAGTCTACTCACCTACATTCCTGACAAGGAGCTGAACATTAACGAGTAGAAACGAAAACCATAGCACTGAAAACGACTCCATAATCTGTAGTCATCCAGAAGTCTGTTTACCATGGTTTCCAACGAAGGAATAAACAAGGAAGTTTACTGGAAAAATTCGTTTTCCCATTAGTACTAGTGCCTAATATGGACTGACCGCATATCTAGAGAGAGTACGTCATAGGATACGCTATGAAGTGCCCTTACTACTACCATACCGGAAATGGTAGTAAATAACCCAAATGTTACATCCTGTCTCTTGTATTAAATAGCAACGCAAAATAATAAAAATCCTGTTATTTATTCGACTAAAAAAGCACATAAAGATAAATGTTTGGCCATAAAACTAGACAGTCCAACTTTTCTGGGTCATGAAATAATTTATTCGTGAACTGCTATTGCTTCCGAACCAAATAACATATATTTTGTAGTGATCGCCGTGTTGAATAAATCATAGGCGGCCCAAGCTCACGTCGCGAGAAAAAGTCAACGATTAATTCATGAACGCGTCACGCGTTGTGTGACTTGGTGTTAAGTTAAAAGAGGAACCGTTGAAAATTTGAACACGTTTAATACAAGGAATAGAATGGGGAGCGAAATATAGGCGATTTACAACAATAAATATTTCGAAATATGAATATTTTACACGTAAAATCAATGACACTTATTCACATCTTGCGTGTCCGTTGTAATTTCTGGCGATTTCTTCCGTTTTAGGCTTGCTTTACCATCACTGTCATTCCTGTCTTTTGACATAAATAACAGTGGTGGTAAAGCAAGATTAAAACAGCAGGAATCGCCGGATAGATAGAAATAAGAAAGATGGTAAGTTTTGAGCTCAGTAAAGAAATAGAGAAAGATGTTTTTTCGTCTCTGAGTCCCCATGAGGAATCGAACCTGGTTTCCTGGAAAAACTAGATCAAGGATCGCCGGATCACCGGATCACTGGATCAAGGATCAAGGATCAAGGATCAAGGATCAAGGATCAAGGATCAAGGATCAAGGATCAAGGATCAAGGATCAAGGATCAAGGATCAAGGATCAAGGATCAAGGATCAAGGATCAAGGATCAAGGATCAAGGATCAAGGATCAAGGATCAAGGATCAAGGATCAAGGATCAAGGATCAAGGATCAAGGATCAAGGATCAAGGATCAAGGATCAAGGATCAAGGATCAAGGATCAAGGATCAAGGATCAAGGATCAAGGATCAAGGATCAAGGATCAAGGATCAAGGATCAAGGATTACCGGATCAAGGATCACCAGATCAAGGATCAAGGAACACCAGATCAAGGATCAAGGATCAAGGATCAAGGATCAAGGATCAAGGATCAAGGATCAAGGATCAAGGATCAAGGATCAAGGATCAAGGATCAAGGATCAAGGATCAAGGATCAAGGATCAAGGATCAAGGATCAAGGATCAAGGATCAAGGATCAAGGATCAAGGACCGAGGACCGAGGACCGAGGACCGAGGACCGAGGATCAAGGATCAGTTCAAAATGAATCAAATAAATTAAATAAATTAATAGGCATGTTTGATTGCTCATCTACGTGACTCAGTTAAGATCTCCTGTATGCTAAAGCGAAAATAAGAGAAAATACTAAATACTGAAAAAAACCATACCACTTTGCGGAAGTGTCAATTTTCCTCTACCGACTATTAGGACTGCTATTGAAGACTGACAGCTACAGAGCGGGTTTACTTGTGCATATGCTATATTCACATGAAATTTCTAAATTATCCCGAGTGTCGGTATGAGATTGCGTGTCTGACTTCCGGTGCAATTTCAAAACACGAAGCCGTTTTTGGCGACTGCCGGAGTGAACAGCAAATCTTCATCTCTTCAAATTTTACTGACCCCATATCCTTAAAGGAAAAGCAGATAAAATGCATCTGAAGAATCACTTGCTTAGAAGAAGACGTTTCAGTCGTTTTTCCGACGGGATTTGACAAGAGACATGATTCGAAAAGTGATAAAATTGTATCGGCTTACTGAGTTGTTGTTGTGAGTCCCCTGAAGTATACATGGAGGAAACAGGTCCAAAATCTCAAGAACACACACTGGAGAATTGAATCAGTTCTTAGTCTTATATGATTTTTCTTTTTGGAGAAAGTAGCTGACGATTAACGAAGAAGAATTTTTTTCTTTTTTTTTGTCACCAGTAAGCACAGTAGGCAGAAAAGTCACGTAGATGAGCAATCAATCATGCCTATTAATTTATTTAATTTATTTGATTCATTTTAAACTGATCCTTGATCCTTGATCCTTGATCCGGAGATCCTTGATCCTGCTTTTCCAGGAAACCCGAACCTCAGACCCTCGGATTCTGCCTTATCCCTTTGGCTATTCTTGTTTCATGATTGACCTCTGGCTGGACATACTGAGCTTCTTTTTGAGATTTTTTCTTTTATTAAACTCGGTAACCTCTGCTGTAACTGCATATATAATGTAAGTATCTTTAAGCCAACTGTCCATGATTTTTGGGAGTCTCGCTAATTAACGAAATACGAAATTTGTCTGACATGTGTCTTGCGCTGCGAGATTTTGATTCCAAGGAAGACAAGATAGAGGTAGAATATCATAATTATAACTTAATGACGAACAGAGACTTTGAATTGGACTATGAAAACATTTGTAGAAAACTTGAGATAATACCTGGGATTTCATTTTTACATTTACTTACAGCAATCAGCTCCAAACATCAATCAAGTTTTCTCTTTAGTTTTAAAGTTGAGCTGATGTTGTTATTGGCTATATTGAAGAGGTTAAAAAGTTTTGGATGATTTCTCTCATGTTTGCAAATAATTGAATTTACGGGAAGGTGGAGTTGTCGCAACATGTTAACATGAAACACAACGATAATTTTTATTGATATGTTTGTGACAATCGTTTTCTAATTACTCCTGTGGCTAATGTTTTGATGAGGTTGGGCTGTCAAAGCAAAGGAACTGAGGATTTTAGAAGGCCAGCAGATTCAGGGAAACATTCAAAGGGATCGATGTGACTTTTTTTAAACCTGGAAACTATCAGCATGAAGAAGCCATACTTGTGCCTGGTTACTCATCCTTATTCTGATTTACTAGTTTTAAGAAGGATGAAATATTTGATTACATAAATTTCATGCATAGGCCAAGCACAGAACATTAATTTGACTGCACTTTTATAGCCAATACCAATTCCAACACATAATGAAATGTTAATAGGGTTAGAGGAAAATTCAATGTGCCACGCATCCACAAGATTTCATGTAATTTTATTAATTACATGAATATTAACTGGTACTAGGATATCTAAGAATATTCAAAAAAATATATAAAATTTATTTAAAAAATTATAATTCGGCACAGGCCGAATAAACAAGATTCTCAGGTAGAGAAATGTGTCCTATTGAAAAAGCCAGGGAAACTTTTAACCACTCCTGCCTGTACCTCTACAGCACATAGTAAAGTCATTCGAAATAGTCACAATCCCGGTTTCAATACTCAAAACACGTGTGCAGGCAGATTCCCTATAAACCTGTAGTTCAAGCTAGCGTTGACTTCATAATTTTCAGTGCAGACCTCAAAAGGAGAACAATAAATTCCAAGTTTCTATTTACTATTCAGCTTAGGTTGGTCAGGTAGAATTGAGTCAAACTTTCATACCATGAGAGGATCAAGAAATTTTCACAGCTAATTTACAAGGTTAGCCAACCTGTAACAATCAACTTCATGTACACATTTGACCAGGTTTGTAATGATATTGGGAAAAATCACCTTTTCCGAAAAAAAAAAGATAGAGAATTGGTAGCAAACCACAGCCCTGGGTCTGCCATTAATTTTAATCTTAAGAGGTTTGAACACATATGGTTTGCACACTCTCTAATTTAAAATTTTTTTCACCTATAAAGCTAACGAATTTATATTCTTGCCTTCTACATTACGAGGACGCCAATTAATTTACCTTTCATGCATTAAAATACAAAAAATGTTCTCTTCATCTATGTGCCCTAAACATTGAAGCGCAGGAGGCAGGTCAAAGTAAAAACATGAATTGAAATAGGAGAGCTTTCATTAATTTCAGTCCTTAAGTTAAAAGAGGATCCTTGCTATCTCTGTAAGAGCGGTCCAGGGCATTTCGCATCACAACAAAGTTTTCCCTCACACTTTGCCCAATAAACTATCTATGGTAGCAAGTAAATAAAACCACATTTGTTTCTGGAAATACGTCAAATATAAAATTTTTAGAGCTCTCAATAGTTCAAGCTGCAAAAGGCCCTTTTTTGACCTCTTCACTGCAACATCGAAATTTTCAAAAGTTGAAAAGCCCGGTCCTCGTATCACACCGCATGCAATAAAGAATGTTTTTTTATTTTTAAACTTTGTGATATGTAAGGTGTATAAAAAACAGTTCTATTTTGATGTTCGTCCATTCAGAGGTCCGTCAACATTTATTTAAAAACACTCGTACGACAGCTTTTTGAAACTGGTCAAAAATACTCTTTCTTTCGTGGTTGATATTGCTCAAGTCCAGACCAGACCATTGAAAACTCCGCTTGATTTCCTCTAATAAGATCTTTGGCAGCAGAAAAATATAAAAACTTCTTGTACTTATTGATTTTCTTCAAACTTTTGGCAATTTTGCTAACGTGACAGCCGAATTATGCAAATTAGTTCATTGTGCAAACTCCGACCGTTTTATAGAAGTAGCTTACTAAATCTTAGATTTTAACCATATTAAGTGGAAAAAATAATAGGAAAGATCTTTTAGACCACACCGATTGATACTCTAAACATTTTAAAAGGCCAAAATTTGACAAATTTTACTATCTCTTGACGAAAGACGTCAACAACAAAGTATTGATTATCATAATTTGATCAGTGAGCATTTGAATAGCAAACTCTTTTTTAAACATTTGCCTTCTGTTTTTTTCATATTTGAGCTCTGACAGCTTAAGCTGTTCAAACCTGTGTGAATATTTCAGAAGTAAACTACGGGATTTTATTCAGTGTAACTGGCGATAATGGCACATACTGAAGTACACTGTGACCAAGGACTCTGTCACCGACACTG